ATGAAGACTTTGGCATCACCGATATCACTTGCCAGGTTATAGCCAATTTGTCAGAGAATGGATCTAACATTAGCACGGGAGTTATGGAAGTCCGGGCTATTTTGGAACTTCTTGGGGGTCTGAAGGCATTTGACCACTGACCTTGTGCTTCTAACCAGCGTTGCTATCGACAGCAATTTTTGTGGATCTGTTTCAATCTAACTTCAGCAGCAAAACACGCAGTTTAAAAATTGGAAATCAACTTCTTTCTGTCCAAGACTGCTTGGTCATCAGTCTCCCAGAATTAATCGGAGTAAGAATTTCCACTTCCCAGTTTGCCAACACAATGCTACAAATCTTTTGTGAAAAAATCTGGCATTAAAACAGCATGATGTATCACAACATTCCCCCACCCCCCGGCAACTATTTCCCATAACAGATAAGCCAGACTGAACACAGACTACAGTTCTCAGGAACACACTGCCTAACACACCATACAGAGAGCACAGAACTGGAGAAACCTAGGAGGTACACTAGATCCATGTCGGTCCCTTTAATTTAAGCACAATAGAAATTTTTGAAAAGAGCGAGAGAAATACACAGTACATCAGAGAAACAGATTCCTGACAGAGCTTGGCTCTGCATTGCTTGAGATTTTGACATCCAACTTCAAATAAGCCTTTTCAGATTCACTCAAAGACCACATCACAGCATTAAGTCAGCTATGATTTCTAACTCCTGACTAGACAGCTCTTATAGTATTTTTATTACAGAAAAAATTTTAGACACCTTTTAAATAGGTTCAAGCAAACTAAGTTTTAAAGCAAGAACAACTACAGCACAGACCACATTTTAGAAGTAACCAAATAACAAACAGTTCAGCTTCAGAAACTGTAACGGTATTCTGACTTCTTTCACTCTTTTAACAAAGTTGCCTTCAAAACCATCTGTGAAACATGCACATTTAGATAACTTTACCCGTAAATATATCTGAGAGCAGAACCACCAAGTGAGAAATTAGACCCAAAGGCAATTCTGCCTCACTTTAACGTCAAAAACTTAAACTAAGAGAAAACGAAAAATAAACACACCTGGACCATGTGTCGCACTGTTAGACAAGAGATTGTTTTTGAGAAGAGAGGGGTCACAAGTTCCCAATCCAGACCAGGCAATGGATACAAGAACTCGTGAGAAAAAGATCACGCAGGGTATGGATTAAATATCTCTGGAAAAGGAGATAGTCAGAGGAGTGAGTAGAAAAGTTCTAAGCTTATTTACAGTCCTGTTTTCTTCAAAAAACCCGAAGTCCAGGAGGTGCCATGTTTGGAGTTTATGTGGATTGCCAACAGCAGGCAAAGGATTTGTTCACAGGGGTTAATAAGTGATGACGACACACCAGGCTGTGAGGGACATCAAGGCTTTGTGAAGTGCCAAGATACAAAGCCAGTAAAGAACTTATGGCCCCAGTTTTGTAAATACCAAATATAGGCATCAGTGATTTCCATTTTAAGTAGGCCAGCATTTTAACTCTGGGACATGCCTCATCTATTAAGATAGCAGTTTACACCCTTTCAGGCAGCTCTATATTTTTAGTTTATCCACTGATGAACTCTTGAGGATATGAAGTGTTGCATTTAGACCAAAGACTCACCAGAACCAAGAACTACTGCCTAAAAAACCAAAACAATAACTGCTTCCATCCTCTATAATTATATGGATCCTTTTCACCTCTGCGAATAACAGGTCAAGGTATGCTTGGGTACAGTTAATCTACTGCCGTTCTCCTCCATGCTTATGACTAAACGAACAGAAGCCACCTGCAGCTTGTGGCCTCTCCACCGACCCCCTTGTGAGGGCATTTATTGAGTCATAAACACCTCCGATAGTCTTACCACCAGAGCATCTGCACAAATGAAGGCTGGAAGAGAGAAAAATTAAAAAAAAAGAGAATTGACTTTACAGAAAAGGCAAGAAAAACGCTCTACAGATATTTTTGCTTTGAGCACAGACTGACGGCCGAAAGGCAGGGCAGGAATACACCTGGCTGAGGATGGCTGGGCATATCATCATCCAGATACGAAACACACAGATTTATCTGAAACTACAAAGCTGAATTTCAGAAAGCCTTCCAAGTTAGATATATTGCATTTCAAGTAGCAAACTGTGTGATATAGTTACATCTCCTTGACAAGACTTCAACTGCAGGATCCCAGCAGAAGGAGGAGAGATCCTGCTTTTTCTCGAGTACAGATACAGACTTCACTATACCTGGCCATACTTTCTTCACCCAGTCACACACATGGGCTGCTACTCTCTACTCCAATAAGGGCACAAACAATCCATAAAGCATTCTGCAATCTATCGGAATGGAAACAACTCTTTAACAAGAGCCTAATGATCCAGACTGATTAGAGATACCTGCAGCACAGTCTGTAGCATCTGATGCATCCCAAAGCTTTTTCTCTTAAGAAGAACGAGATTCAGGTTGTGGAAACACCAGCTCCCAGGAGACCAAGCTGCAGCAGGATCCAAAATGCTTGAGCAAAACTGCTCCATCAGGATGGGACACTGCACAACTACCTGCAGCATCTTCTTAGCAATCTAGCTCACGCCCACAGATTGGAGACGAATTTCCGCAGAGCTGCAGTGCTCTGCTCTTGCACACCTGTGCCAAGCAGGAACTGGGCTTTCACAGGTATCACTTGGAAAAGTAGGCACAGTAAACTGACCACATTCCTTTTTGTTACAATCAAGGGCAAAGGAGAATGCACCTGACTAAAGGTTGTGTTAAAAGTCTACCTCCGCTGGAATCCAGTCAGTCAGTGTTTTGCAAGGGCCTGTTTGCACAGCACAGCAGAGGGACTCACAGTAAAGGAGTGTGCATTTTCCCTGCATTTCCGTTACAAACCCAGAAGGTTCCCATACAGAGGTTGCTGCACCATAAACTCACTCACCCGTTTATTGGATTGTAATTTCCTGACGTAGAAGCCCTAAAGCCTTGATAGAAGTAGATTTACCTTTGTCTGTTACAAATAGCCGACTCATGGGAAGCTGGACGGAGAATAGGGAGAAGGAGCACAGAATTACGAACGGCTGCTAGCTCGATGTATACAGCTTCTATCGACAAGGGAATACATGCCTGAGTAGGCAGCTCTTCACAGCTTGGTTTGGCCACAAGCTAAAGCACAAAAATTTCACCCCGGACCTTCTGTGAAAGACAGGCACCTAGAGTCAGTAAGACAACACTTGGAAAGACAGAGATACATGCACTTCACTAACATCCATTTTTCTGCCCACAGTTCCAAGAAGCAGGTTGTTTAAAATCTCAAATCACGTTAATCCACAGTGACCAGGGACTGTATTTTTCAAGCAGCAGCTGGTCCAAGATTCCCTGGTATAACCACCAATTACATAACAAATTAACCAACCAAAATTCAATGGAAAATCAGATTTGCCTACTGCGGTGAACAGGGAAGCAGAATGGGCCACAAATATTCTGAAGAGCTTGCATGTGAGTGCATATTTGCAGGAGGACAGAACCAATTCACTAATGGGACTCAGATTTAAAAAAAAAAATAAAAATAATTTGTTTTTCTCCTGCCTCTGGACTCGAAGTAAGAAATTAAGATTTCCACTGCCCACTCTCCTTTTCCTTCCACACCCTCTTCTCATTGGCATGAGATAAAACCTTGGGGAAACGGCAGCAGCAATTCTCAATTCTCATTATCTATCGGCAGCAGTAGCTCTTGGGGAAGCTTGCGGTCAATAAACTACAGGCGATTTTAAAAGAAAAAAAAAATAAATAAATTTGTTTTTCTCCTGCCTCTGGACTCAAAGTAAGAAATTAAGAAGATTTCCACTGCCCACTCTCCTTTTCCTTCCACACCCTCTTCTCATTGGCATGAGATAAAACCTTGGGGAAACGGCAGCAGCAATTCTCAATTCTCATTATCTATCGGCAGCAGTAGCTCTTGGGGAAGCTTGCGGTCAATAAACTACAGGCGATTTTAAAAGACACAATGGGAACTGCCCCTCCCACAGCTGTACCATTATCCCAGCTTTTATTAGATTTAAAGCCAGCGATTTTTATGCTGTAGCTGAAGTTCTGCAGAGCCATGAAAACAGACCACCAGAAAAGACATAACGCTCCTAAATTAAATAGAAGACATTACAGTAAGGTAGTCTAAAGTCAGAGAGCTTCCACATCAGCAAAGCACAGGATGCAGCAAGCAGCCTAAGTGGGCTGATGCCATTGCAGTGAGTCAATGGTCACGCCACCGAAACTCAACATTTGGGCTGGTAGAAGCGGCAAAGTTAGTGAGCAGGTTAAGCAGGGCATGTAGAAAGTGTACAAGCTACAAAGGTGGACAATCAGGGCAGGATCCTGCTCCCATAACTACAAGATCATCGCACTATGGGCATTAGCTCTGGAGTTCACGGTCTGGATGTGCCTTCCAAGCGGCAGAGAGAAATACTCCCTCGTGGATGGCAGCTCAGTGGACCTGTTTCAAACCCCTGCGTCAGGACCAGACGTGCCATGCTCTACCAGTGCCTGTTCCTCTCCCTTGACTACAAAAGATGCCCTAATGGCCAGAAAATATACAAAACAGGTAACATTAGTTATAACCCTACCATACGCTACAATAAAGTAACCTGTTCTAGTAAGAGGGTTTGTATAGAATGAGTAGAGGATTAATTTCAAAACTCACTAAATGATTACCTGAGACACTTGTCCTTGGGGCAGAAGTAACTGTGGGTGCATCTTAGCTCCCAGCTCAGAGACGTGCACAGCAATAGCCAAAGGGAAAGTGGTGCTCAGAGGAATAGTCTCAAACCAACACAGTAAGGGGGAAGATGTGAAGAATTATTCTCATCAACTGCAAGCTGTAATTTTCAGTCTCAAAATCCAGAGCTTGCTTTCTCTGAGTCTAATGCATACCATGCCCTGGAGACGTTTTTACCAGCCATCAAAAGGAACTTGCAGAGAACCAGATGCTTCATTAAAGAATATTCACCAAGCCTTATAAAATCTTTAGTAAAAAGCAGAAGAACAAATCACCAGCGTGCAAGTGAGCTGAAATCACACATCCAGCGTTGATTACAACCTCCTGTACTGGAAAATAAATTGTGTTTAAAAAAAAAGAAGGAGGAAAAAAGGAAAAACAACACCCAAGAAAGCAAGTGATTCTGGCCTCTGGTTCCCACATTCCTCCAACCTGAATTTCCTGAATGAGGAATGCGTGAGACAAAGCCATTTGGTAGAAGATGCTAATTTAAACTTAAAGAAAAATAACAGCTTAAAAGGGGGAGGAGGGAGTTTTAATCCTTCCTGAGAAACCACAACAACTTACGATCGCTACATATCTCTCGAGAGACAGAGTACTCAGTAAAAGCAGTGAAGCAAATTGTCAGGGCTTCGGCTGTCCCGCGACAAAGGAAAATACAGAAGATGCAGCCATACACAAGTTTTATTTGAATTTGTACTTGCAGAACCCTCTAGTGCCTGTATGTAGCTGTAAGGTTTAATTACCTATTCCTTAGTCTCTCACCTCTTCCAAGAACATAGCAGGGAGATTTTCTGTCATGTTCCATGACAAATTAATGTCCTGTGCACTACTTCCAGGAAGTTTCTACCACAGCAGAGGGAAAAAAATTCTGAGGTTCACTGAACACGCCAGGAACGAAGATGATCTCCAACTTTTGGTTTATAAAGAAAACCTACCAAAAACCCTACCACCACACAACTCCAAAAAAGATCCAAGTTAATAGGATCTTTCACTGCCCTCTGCTGTTACCAGTCATTTAGCTTCCATTTTACTCTGATAATGTTGGGCTGGGGCTCAGGGCTGGCAGCGTCCCAGCCCCTTTCTCAGGCGGGTTGGAGCCACAGCTTGCAAATATGCTGAAGTTTAATGCAATCTGTCTTCTTTGGTAATCACATTCCGCCCGCACCGCATGCAATAAAGACGTATTGGTAAATGCATTTGCTAAAGATACACTCCGCTGAAAAGTCTACAAGCCTGATTTACAGGAGGCAAAGGAGGAAGCATCAGGTAACAGAGGCTGGCAATAGACGCGCCAGTGCTCTGCGCACGGCAACAGAGGGCACGGATCGTGCGGCGGCAGCACAGGCACTGCTTTACTTTAAAGCTGAGAAAGAAAAAGAAACCACACGTTTTGGGAGCTGGGGACTTTAAAGATATCAGAGAAAAGCCCTTTCTCTGGCAGCTTTAACCTTGCTGATTTGCAGACATACAAAGACCTTCTTTGTAAACAGGAAGGAAAAAAATTCCACTAGGACTAGCAACAACATTTGGTCTAATATATCCTGACAATTTTCCCATCTCCTTCTGTCGGGCTTCTTCTGGGAGCCGGCTGGCAGCTTGTTTCATGTTATACTTAAATCAGGCATACAGCTTCCCCTCACAATGCTAATGCAACAGAGAAAGACTGCTTCTATGAAATCTCCACCTCTCCCCCACCCTCTGTATTAGTAACCCCACAAGAGGAGTCTCCGTTTTCTATTCCCAGATGACTCCATCCTTTTCCCCAAACTCACCTTTTACTGTAGTCTCAGCACCTTTTTGAGAATTTTCTACTCAACAAAGAAAACGGAAAGCCTGCTCTGAGGGACACGTGAGCCACTGAATTCTCACACGGGGCACAGCATCCTTTACGCTCCAGACATCCAAAGCAGTAGCTTATGTCAAACCACTCACTTTTCCCAAGACCATATCCTAGTTGTAATGCCTAAATACTCCATTTTTCCTTTCTCCTTCATTTGTTTCAATTGCCAGAAATTCTTCCAAGGTACTGAACAGCCACTGTCCTACGGCATCAACAGAATCTACAAGGGCTCTGCATCTCAGAAGGAAGAGCCATAATTAGGCTTGCTGGCCCCTCGCACAGGACGAACAGTTTTCAGTAGTCTGCAACTTTCGTAACAGGCAGCAGCTTTGCACAGTAAATAAGCTTTCCTCATGCAGCAACGAAAGGAAGCAAGACCTCCATCTGCAAGGCCCCATAATGGGAGAATGTTTAGAGCCTGTTGGCAAAATGGATTTGCCTACTGCTTCCAAAATACAGCACCCAAGAAGGTAAAGCTTGGGAAAATTATCGTGACTGACTTTGAAACCTAGGAGCATAGGCATTACTGCTTTGGCGGCAGCTCAGTATAACAGGAGCAAGGCTGGGACATACGACAGTGTCACTGGGAAACATGGAATGAATGTGGGAAAATGGTTCCCAAAGAAAACCTCTCTCCTAGAAACGTTGCAATTTGACTGAGATACCTCAGCCCCCAGAAACACTTCCCAGAAGAAAACACCATGCAAAACAAGACAGCAAAGCCAGAAAGTACAACAGGGAAGCTTTTGTTACCTTCTGAGCTGCACTAACACAGCGTTGATATTCCTTAGCCAGTTCCGAGCATTTGAGCACTTCACGTTTGTTTTCTTGGTAGCACTTCAGAATTTCCGACTGCAGGCTTGAACAGACAGGATTAGTGTTCCTTCTCCTGCGGGGAAAACAAGCACAGAAAGATGTGTGAAGAGGAGTTTTCACCCACTTACTACCACTTTACCAGCAACACGCATACTAACCTTGGGTTGGAGTCATCTAGTCCTAATAGAGAAACTGGTGGGAGCTGCAATCACCAAAGTGGGTCAAATAACCAACAGTGTCTTTCAGCTGAATAATCCAGGGTATTTAGTAGAAAGAAGGAACATGTTCTTTCTAGGCTGGTGTGGAAGGCTGTTTTACCCTTAGGTAAAACATTATCTCTCCTCTGCAGTCAGGAGAAAAAAAAATAATTCCAAGAGGTTCAAACATTTCCCAAACTCATAGTAGGAGTTTTGGGAGAACTCAGGAATCCTGGCTGGGTTTGAGCTAGATCTGCAACAGTCTGACAAGGAACCGAGCAGACTTGTTGAATAAGCTGCCTCAATCTATTGAATTCTCATCTATTTAAACACTTCAAAAAATCCAGCGGGATTGGAAGCACTACAATTCTCCTAGTGACTAGAAAACACAGAATAATAGCAAGAGCAGATATCCGTTTCTTTTTATTTCTGAAGCAATTAGTACTCATATCCCGTAAATGGCATTGACAGCTACCCAAGCACAATTAGGGATGGTGTTCTTAGACTCCAACGTGCATGTGTACATATGGCACATCATCAGCAACAGCACCAATAAAGGGGAAGGTCGTTGTAAAACAATACCAGCAACAATGGCACAAACACAACAGTGTCATCAACTGCACAGACTGGCAGGCACAAATTGCAGGAATTTGCAGCACAATTGCCATGGCATGTTTTACCAGAGAACGAGAGAACATATGCTTAGGTGTAGCAATGCGCAGATGCCGCCTCCTAAACCATAAATCCTTTTAATTCCTTGCATTTTCTGCCTCGATAAGCTTAGAGAGATCTGTGCCCAAACATCAAACGCAACGCCTCCTTCCAAAGCACTTGATGCCACAAACAGGCATTAATGCCGTGCTCTGATGTGTTCATTTCCACAGCACCCACAACAGTCACTCCTTCAGCAAAAGGGCTTCGTAGTGAGGCAGAGGAAAAACATGACCTGTTCCTGGGCAGGTCTCATTCTCTCAGGTGGAACAGATTTCTAAGAATCATGGCATCTTAAATTAAGATCTTCTAAAAGCTTTTGGAGAGCTCAGATATGCGTTTCCAAGTCACTCTTGTTTCTGTAAGGTGCTCAGGAAAACAAGTAGAAGGGCCAAAAGAATAATTTAAAAAAAAAAAACAAACAAACAACAAACCCCCACCACCATTCTGTCTTTTCTTCCATATCAGCAACTTTGGCTGCTCCCTCAAAATAGTTTGGCTGAGACATACTCCAAATGATACCTCTTCAGTCTTACTGTCACATACACGGACAGACCAAGAATCCATCAGTAACAACAAGACAGCCACACTCAAAACCACTGAGATTTGTATCAGAAACCACCAGAGATACTATACAAACTTCTTTCCCCACCTCTTCACTAATCTTACAGGCTTTAGAAAAAACTTATTCCCATGCATGGCCCCTAGAGGCTAGTGTGCATTTCTAATTTCTATGTTCTACAATAAATCACCTTTAAAGCCTCTAAAAATCCATATTCTAAAAAATCTTCGAGTTTTGGAATAGAAAAGAACCCAGGGAGAGCTTCAGAAACTCATAATGTTGGCATTTTGCTTTGTCACTAACTTTAATGTCACTCTAATCAAATCAGTGAGACTGTGGAAACGATACCAAACAATACCAGGTCAGGAAATACCACCAAATCCCCCACTTCATTGAAAAAGTTAAGACTTTTAAAATTAGGTTTTTGAAACTCAGCCATGTTAAACTGAAGGACGTTTTTGCAGTTTTCATGTAGAGAGCTGGAAGAGCAAAAAGGTCCAGCAAACAAACCAGTCTGTATTCATCTGAACTGAACAATACAGTGCAAACATCTCGGAATTATTTATACGAATGCTCGAGGTCGCCATTGCGGACACAGAGAGCTACAGAAATTGCGGGTTTTGTTTCAGGATTTTTCTTCACTGTCCCTCCTATAGCATAAGTCTTCATTGCCTAGCTTGAGGGTAAAGCCAGAACCCCCTGGGCTCACAGCAGTGCAAAGTCTGTGGCCCTCTTCTTCAGCAGACCCCTTGGTGATCAGCCCAGAGCACACAGGGCTATTGCGAAGCCACGCCGTGGTGAGCAAGAAGCCACAGAGTGATTGTTGCTGCCTAAAGCCTACCAGAGGCAAGGGATCCATCAGCACAGCACGCGTTGCCTAGCGAGCACCTAAATTACCGTTCATACGTGCCACTTCCCACAACACAGAGAGGATTTATTGGGTGCCACATACCCAGAATCATAACAAGACTATTCTCCTTTATTTCATCAAAATAAAATCTCAGACTGCAGTTATGCAGCAATTGCACCAGCTTCTCAAAACAGACTTAGAGAAACTAATCAATGTAACACAAAACTGGTTAAGGTAATTATCAATACAAATGACACAAACCAATATATTAGTGAATTCACAAGCAAACTGGAAATTCCACAGCACCAGTTAAATCCCCCTGAGAACGACATTTCACTTTGGAATAGGAAGCTCAGGAGGTAACTGCCACTGTGCCCCACCATGCAGTGGGATCTTTGAAACCAACAGACAAGAACTACAACTGTGAGCTCACCGTAAGGAAGCACATCTTGCTGTTCCCAGGAGCACACAAGTCACCCAGGTCCAGAAGACTAGCTCTGGTACTCATCGGGACTGAAAGGGGGTATCTGAACTGCTTTCCTCCCTGAGCAGCAACCGCTGCTCCCGTCCTGTCTGAAAGGGTCAGAGAAGCCACCCGCCACTCCTGCGCTCACGAAGCCTCTCAGCTTCGGGCTGCAACACTTCCTCACAAGAGGCAACCACAGTCCTATACACCAGTTGCACCTCACAGTTGTCTGGCTTTACTAACACATATCTGAGTGAAAAAAGGGACTAAAGGGAAAAAAAAGATGGAGACCAGCAGCGTTGAACTACAAATGTCTGTGTTGAGAGCAATGGCACATTGATTTCCAAAACAAGTGGACCTTAGTCCACCATCTCCCTTCAACCTCAGCCCAGCTCAAGATTTTTGGCATTAACCTTTAGAAAAATTCATCTTTTGGACACTCCGCTACATTGCTCTTGGTAACTTCTCATTGCTTGAGGGTTTCTATTCTTATTTCTTAAACAACAAGAGGGAAGGAACATGGTGGAGCAAGGATGAACTCTAAATACATACAGAGAAGTATGTTTTGACCTTTCTAAAATGGGTCACAGTTTTAAACATAATATGGCACCACCAAATAAGGTAGGCAATTAGCCTCTGCCTAAAATAAACCACTTTGCGATTGCTACTGCTGCTATCGAAACAGATATAAGAGGCTCATTTAGAGCAGCTAGGAAAAAGACAAGAGAGAAAGGCTGGGCTGGGGAGGGCTAGGACAGTACCTGCAGACAGGGAAGCACGGGAGATGAGCTCTGACAATACCTTGGAAACAAATGCAGGACATACGGAATATGAGAGATTAAACCACTAACACATGCTCTCATCTGTTTAAAGGAAGAGGAAAGGAGAAAAAATGACAAGTGGAAAGGAAGGGTTGAATCTAGAAATACAACTTGCCAGCACTGCCTCCCTCATCACAGTGGGGAAGGAAACCTTTGCCTCACCACCATTCAATGGAAGGAAGGCTTCATGCACATGAAATCCATTAGTTCAGATCTTCCCCTTCCCCTCCCCCTCCCATGTAGGGATCTGAACCAGGTCTCTGTGTGGAAAAGAAAGGAGAGGTTTTCTCAAAATGAAACAAAGAGGATCCTTCTTTCTGCTATCCCTTGAGGTAAGACAGAACAAGCATGATCTTGCTGCGTTTTGACACACCAAGAGTTACCAAATCCTCTCTATCACTGCATATTCCCTTTACTTTATTTAATAAATGAAATCTCATCAACTTATCCTTCTTCTATTATCACTGCTGACATCAATCTGATAATATTGGCTTGGCGTGGAATCGTGCTATTATATGTCCTCTTGATATTTAATTTAAGAGAAACGTCTGCAGTGGGGTGAATATGTGAAGCAAGCTTTTTATTACTGGCAGCAGTAAGGATGCTGGGAGTGAATTAGACATTCATCTTAGTCAGGGCCAATCTAGTGGCTCAGAAAAGGTTTTCTTCTTAACCCTCTCCTAACTGTTCAATAGCGGCAGGTAACGGCTGCTCCAGTCAGTAACTGCATTCATTTGTCTTGGCAAATTCATTTCTACATGGATATAAACCCCATGAAGAAGTGTTAAGCGTCTGGGAGGTTAAAGCAAGGTTCTTCGAGATTTTCCATCATAAGCTCTGCAATAGTAGGAAGAGTGTTGGTCTAAATGTCCATCAATTAATCAAGAAGCAGCACAGCTTCCAAATAGCTTCCAAAGACAAACACACAAACTTACTGCAAGAAACGATTAAGGCAGTATCATCAGGATGCAGACCCCATAGACAGAAGGTTTCAAAACAGAGCACAATGGCTACTCGCTAGCTGCTGCTGACAGGTTCCCTTTCTGGAAGAAGAATTATGGACTCAGTACTGAAAAGAGAGGGAAAGCTGGAAGATGTATATGTATTTGCTAGTCCTTCCACCCAGCTGAAAAATCACACCAGCCGAGAGGAGATACAACTTGAATGTTTTAGGACTTGGCAGCGCTTCAGACTAGTGCAACATCAGTAACCCCACAGCGAGTGCCACACGGTCACTTGGTGTTACTGGTTAGAACAGCAATTCCAGACAGAGTAAGAGCAAGATCCTCTTTTTACCTTTTGCTCTGGGAAACCATTCAAGCAGAGAAAAAACTCAAGAGAGAGACTGACTGTATCTAAACCCAGACACTTTGATGCCTCTGCTCAGAAAGTGAAAAACAAGGACACAGAGGATCCCTCATATAAGCCAACTTTAGAGTAGCTGCTCCAGTACACAGCTGCGACCA